TAACAATATATAGCAATGCATAACATAACTAGAATTTTTAAAACAAGTTCTTTTTTACATGAGCTTACTTTTTTCTCCCTTCTTGGTTAAAACAGAAACTGACATTTTTCCTCATCTCACTGTTTAAAAAAGCCATTAGGAAATCAGATTTACTTGTACCATATAAATATATATGTGTGCAGTTTACATATCAAGCAGTTGTAAAAAGAAAATATTCTGACAATTCTTTATATTGTGTCTGAATTTCTTTCACCAGATTTCAGTGTATCTGTTCATTTTGTGCAACTGTGGCTGTACAATAAATACATCTTTGAGACTGGGTAAGCTGGGCCAAGAGATGACGGAACAGAATGTGCACATCAATATAAACTAGAGGCAGACCACGTAGACATGATGGATATATTCTAGAACACTGTGTCACAACTTCAAGGCACTGTCAGCTCATGTTGTTTTCCATATTCAGCTCTAGGTATCATATTGTCAGGGTAGGGTATATACAGAGGAGTGTGACCAAGATGATGAGAGGGATTGAAACTGTGCCATGAGGATGGATGTATGGAACTCACGATCTTTAGTGCGGAGAACAGAAGATCTCAGAAGGACATGCTTAGATGTCTTCCCCTATTTAAAGAGCTATGAGAGAGGAAAGCAATTTGTGCTATAGCTCCTCCATAGCTAGTGTCAGTGGATAGAAATTTCTAGGAAGAGATTTCAGCTTAGTATTAAAAAAGCCATCCTATAATATAATAATAATAATAATAATATCATATCATATCATATCATATAATAATAAGAGCTATCAACAAGAGAAGGCTTGTAAAACAGTAAATACCCTGTCCCTAGAAGTATTTTAGCAACTCTGATGATGACTTGTTAAGGGGCAGCTAGGTGGTGCAGTAGATAGAGCACCGGCCCTGAAGTCAGGAGGACCTGAGTTCAAATCCGGCCTCAGACCAAACACTTGACACTTACTAACTGTGAGACCCTGGACAAGTCACTTAACCCCAATTGCCTAAAAGAACACACACAAAAAAACCAAAGAATGTTGTAGAACAGATTCATCCATCAGACAGAAACCATCTAGTCAAGCCTGTCAAGGTCCTTTCCAACCATAAGCTTCTAGATTGTTGGTGAGGCCCGGGCTATGGTTTCATTGTTCATAAAAGTCACATCTGGCCCATGACCCTAGACTACATCCTTTACCAGTCAGATGTGTCTCTTCGTCATTAAGTGACATAGCAAAATACCATACATGGAATGGTTACAAGGCCAATGGAGAAGGATTTGGCGTGGTTTATATGCCACCATCACAAAAGTTATGCAACCATTTACCAGCACTGATAAACTACAGAATATACTAAGGAGGGTAGAGAAGGAAATGGCAAACCACTCCAGTAACTTTGATAAGAAAACTCCAAATGGGATCATGAAGAGTTAGACTGAAATAAGTGAACAAAACAACAAATGCTAAGGAAGAAAAAAGGAAACAAGTATTTATTATGCATCTACTATATGCCAGACACCATGCTAATTGCTTCACAAATATCTCACTTGATCCTCATAACCATCCTGAGAGGCAGGTCATTATTACCCTCATTGCATAGTTCAGAAACTGAGGCAAAGAGAGGTGAACTGATCTGCCTAGGAGCAAAGCATCCAAGGCCAGATTTGAAATCCAGTATTCCTGACTCCAGGCCCAGGGCTATATTCATCACGTCACCTCTCTAACTCCAAGATGGGCAACCAAGACAGGATGGTGAAGAGCCTTGAGGTCATCCCTTCCAGACAAAGCTAGATGACTGCTCCTTAGCTATGTGGAGGGTGGAGGTTTATTTATCCAGGTATGACTTTTTATTGATAGCTTCTGAGGTCTCTTCGTAGGTCTGACATTCAGTAATTCTGAGATCTCCATCGTTGCTTCTTCCCCTCCCCCAAGCTCCCTTCTCTATAGAGCAGTAAAAACATGAATAACAGAAATAATAGCAAAATTGAGGGCAGGTATTAGAGAGGAGTCATGCCTGTGCCCCTTCCCCCTCTCTCCAGGATCCTAGAGCAACCCAAGCTACCTGGTAAGTGCTTTGTGAGAGCTAAACCAGCCCGGAGCAAATTTAAGTCATTTTTATGGGACATATCTCCCTAGGAAAGCCTATGGAAACATGGCCCATGGTAATAAATATTAAATATGAAAAAATATTTCAGCTAGAAACACTGTGAGAGGCTACACCACAGAAAAGGTTGCTGACTTGATGGGATGTCAACTGCCTGAGGAGACTTAAGGGGATGTGTCTAAAGCAGAATTTATCCCAATCCAAAGTCCCCAAACAATATTCAGAACAACATGGCATGCCATGCAATTGCTTGCAGAGACAGAACAAGTCTGACTGAACTGATCTCCAAGCAGCAGAAACTTATTTATGATTTTTTTGTTATCCCAGCAGTGAGTCATCTTCAGGAAATTCAATTGAGCTTGAACTGCTAGCCTTGACTCTTTAATGAAAGGCATTCAAATGCATTAAAGGCAGAGGCACAGAGTGGCCAGAGCACTGGAACTGGAGTCAGGAAGACCTGGGAAAGATACTAGTTGGCAAGTCACAAGACCTTTCAACCTCAGTTTCCTTCTCTGTAAAAGAGAGACAATAACAGCATCCCAGAGTTTGCTGTGTGGATTAAATTAACAAGCATTCAAGTATTTACTTATGTTCTAGGCAGTCAGCTAAGTAGTAGAATGGATGGAGTACTGGACTTGGAGTCAGGAAGACCTGAGTTCAAATGCAGCCTCAGACACTTACTAGCTGTGTGACCCTGGGCAAGTCACTTAAACCTGTTTGCCTCAGTTTCCTCTTCCATAAAATTAGATGAAGAAGGAAATGGCAAACCATTTGCCAAGAAAAACCAAATGGGTCATGAAAAGTCTGGCAGGACTGAAAAATAACTCAACAACAACAATGCCCCAGGGACTTTTCTAAGAGCTGGGAATACAAATTTAAGCAAGGAGCTTACATTCTAATAAGGGAAGACAAGACATAAAAGGAAGATGAAAGGGGGGATGGGGGAAGAGAAGGCACATACACTAGGGCAAGGTGGGTAAAGGAGCCTGGGGAGTCTGGAATGGAGCAGAGACAGGAATGACAAAATAGCTGGCTAAGACACTTTCCTAAAAATGAAAGATCTAGAAGGAATTGGCTGAGCAGAGGACTATAGGAGCAGAGCGATCTTCCCTGTGAGAAAGCTGATGGATCATAATTGAGAAAGGACTCCAGAAGGTAGAAGGCAGAGCCCATAGAGAGAAAGGAGAACCATGGCTGGTCTGGGCAAAGCACTTGAAATAAATCCTCAAAGCATTATATCGATGTGAGCTATTTTTATGTAGTGACAAATGAATTTGGAAACACTCCACTATCCCAACAAAGTCAGAAGTAACTGATTTTTTCAGTTTGTACATGTGTTCAAATAGATCAAGACCTTTTTTACACTTGGTCTGATGGTGAGAAGGGTATAAATTGAAGGGAAAAAAATGAGTAACCTAGGATACTGTTTTCTGCCCAAGGGCAGCTGAGCTATGGGCATGACAAGGCATCAGTTATTGCCAGTAGCATGAAGGATTGCCACCAGCTACCTCTCCACCCCAAGTGAGGGCAGCAGACATAAGCAGAGAGTAGCAGAGCTTCTGGACTGGTATTTGTAAGGGTGGTCTACCTTCCTGTTTTTGTTTGTTTGTATGGTTTGGGTTTTTTTTTTTTTTCTGGAGAAGAGAAGACAGAGATAATTAGCCTGAGGAGACCTTGTCATGTTGGAACAGTGTAGCTTTGGAGGTTCCTTGCTCTTGTGTGGATTTTAGTGAATGTTCTTCTTTCATTTTATGTATGAAAACAGGAAAGTATTACATACTAACTTAGGTTGTGCACTGAGTGAGATCTTAGGCACAGAGAACTGAGAAAGAGCTGGCTCTAGTGAACCCTAGCCAGTATGTCAGAGATTGTTATATCCTTGACAACATCTTCCAATCTTTGCTCATTCCCTTGGATGTATCTATGTCACTGCTACCACTGCCAATATGGTATTGAACCCTGGCAGGCAGATGTCAAAGGGTATTAATAATGTTCTCATTAATTATGACAACAGTAATTCAGAAAAGTATTGCTATTAAATAAAGTTTTCATGATTCTACTTTAATTAGGTTAACGATCAGCCTTCTCAAGGAGCAGATTATTGTCACAAAGTAGGTTTTTTTTCTCATTTTTAGTTTAGGCACCCACATAGAAGACACATTTTAAACATAATCTCACTTTGTCAAGTCCTTCCATCTGTGATGCAAGAAGAAAAGAGAGGATAGGCCACAGTTCAGAAGGTCACAGCTGTTAGTGACCTAACACACAGCATGTCTGCCAAAACTTTTGGAAGCAAAGTTATAGCACAGTTATAAGTTGTGGCCCCTTACGCAACTTATTGCACAGCCTGGTCAATGCATACTCCCTGACGCCCACCCTGAAGAGAGACCGCAAACAACACAAGAGAGCATAAGGACACACAGAGACAGTTATACCTCTCCAATCCACGTTCCAGATGTGGCTTTCCTCAACCACAATATCCAGGATCAAGATTGTACAATAACATTCGTTCTCTGTCTCTTTGTTTATCTTTCTGTAACACTGAGGTCTACAACCACAGCTAAATAGGTCAGTCTAAAAATCAGACCTGAGGTTTAGCTTTTTTTCATTATTAATATATTGTCTATCGGCAGCCTCAGAGTGGGAGAAAGGGTGCTGGTGCCTTGACTATGGCTTTGTCTAACAGCTACTGTTGTTAACTGAGACCTGGGAAAGACCTTAGCTTCAAAAGGCCAAGGTCTCCCACTGCATCCCAGGCCATTTCCAGTCATCCTGATCTATATCTTGCCCCTGGACCCAGATGGCTCTGGAGGAGAAAGTGAGGCTGGTGACTTTGCACAGCCCTCCCTCACTTAAATCCAATTCACTTGCATGTCACGGCATCTCCTTCCTGATTCCTCTTTTAGAATGAAAGACAAACAACAATTGTTGCTATCCAAGTCACCTGCCCTGCCTCTGTGGTTGGACTAACACCCCTGAATGGGAGTTTTTGTCTCATGGTAAGTAACTTTTAAAATATACATTTCTAATATTTTTACAACTTTAGAAGTCTGTTTAAACTTTTTTCTAAAAATTTTAAAAGCACTTTTAAAAATTCATTCTCTCTTTTAAGCTTCACAACAATGCTGTAGGGTAGATGCTTCTAGTATCATTATTTCCACTTCACAAATTAGGAAGCTAAAGCTTGAGGCTGAGTGGTTTGCTCAAGGTCACAATGCTAGGATGTTTCTGAGTCAGGAGTGAACCCTGCACAGGTCTTCCTGCTCTAGGGCCAGCACTATACCCATCCCCTATCCTTTTAAATCCTAATGCACTACAAAAATATTCTATTTATTCTTATTTCTATGATACCATGCTGCCTCCCCACTCCTTACCTTTAAAGAAGGTTCTAAACACCTAAACACTCTACAGCAATCTACATTAGAACCTCTGCTAAGGTACTTTCCCAGGATTAATGTGGTATTTACCACACATTTCTAAGCAAATAGACAGATTTGGGGGAATGAAATGCAAGCACACTATGAACAAAGGAAATAAAAATTGTAATAATTTAAACAAGTGGCTTTACCATGAGCGCATTTAGTTACAGTGTATTTATGTAAAGGAGCCGGGTAACAAAATCACACAAGAGTATTGAAGAAAGCTAAGGACGGGGACCCTATTCAATGGATTTGAAATGCAGGCAATTGATAGTGTATACACACACACACACACACACACACACACACATATATATACACACATCTTTCATCGGTCACCAGAGACATGCACACAAACCAGAGAACAGATTATTATGCAGAAGTTAAGAGAGTTGGCCTACTCCCTTCCCGATAGCTATTTGCTTTGCTTTAAGAATTTCTAACATGATATAGGAACACACAGGAAAATAAAGCTCCCCTCACCTTTGCTCCCCTGCTTCTCAGCTGAACTATGAGGTTGTAAATTCTGTGCTCTGAAGTGATCATCACAATTGAGCTGAGACACATTTTGACCATCATTTATGACTTCCTGTCCTCACTTGGCAAGTATCTTTGGTCATCCAAAAGGTGAAGTACCTTGGAGAGATTTTGAAAGATCTGTTTTTTTAAGTGAAATAACTAAGAGGCTTTTTTTTAATGAGATTTCACTGAAAACACCAGCCTAAACAGGCGAAAAGGGCAAAGCCAGGAATAAATTGTGTGCTTGCCCTTTGTTCTACTTACTCTCTGTATATTACATCTCTCTGGCTAACAGACTTTAGGAAGACATTCCCGTCGATAGGGGATGCAGGTCCAGAATGTCTTGTCCTCAGAAGCTAGTCAGTGACGGATCTGTTTTCCATACCCTTTGGTTCCTTCTGGAAAGCAAGTCTCAAATGTTGATAAATGTTCCCAGAGCTTCATGCAGAAAGAAAGAGAGAGAGGGAGGAGAGAGGAGAGAGGAGAGAGAGATACAGAGACAATAAAGAGACAGACCAATACACTAAGGGCCAAACTTGAGATTCCTAGAGCTCCTTTATGAATACCTCAGGCAACATGGGGACATGTGATTCACTACCTACTAATAGCATGGCCTTAGTATGTCACTATAATCTCTCCGGGCTTCAGTTCCCTAATCTGTAAGATGAGGGGCTTTGATTAGATGATTCCTGAGGTCCTTTTTGGTTCAAAGTTTCTGATACTGTTTCTCTGAAAACTGTACAAATGAAATATGATGCGAATAAGGAATGAAGTGCAGGAATCCCGCAGGCTGGCCAAAGTACTTTCCTTACAACAACCCTACAAAGTAGATCCTGCAAGAATTATGAGGTCAGCTCTGATACTTGCAACTTGTGTGGCTCTGGGCAAGTCACTTAACCTTTATTTGCCTCAGTTTCTTCATGTGCAAAATCAGAGGGTGTGGACTAAGGGATCTTCCAGTGATTTCTGCAATTTAGAGATAGGAAAACCAAAGTTTAGAGAAGGGATATAATTTGTCTACAGCAGGTAAAAGAGGCATTATTACTTATAACAAACCAAGAATGCATACACACGTCTTTTTAAATGTATGTTTGTATACATTTACATGTACCCACATATATGTATATATGGGTTTAGTTATATGTAATATGTATATATGCACATACTACATAAGTGTGTATATTTTTTTTTTCAGCAGCTAGGCAGAACAGTGGGTAGAGCCTTGGGCCTGGAGTTAGGAAGATTTGAATTCAGATCTAGCCTGTTTGCCCTATTTGCAAGAAAGGTCCATCTCACTTGGGTAAAAGGGAAGTACATTCCAGGACCGGAAGCATCCCAGCAAACCAGAAGGGATCCTGAGCTCCAGGGTGGTGGAGCAGGCTAACACCAACACTAGGACCCGCTACGTGCCTTAGCATAGCCTGGGGAGCTAGCAAACTTCAGGTCTAAGAACCACCACATGCTTCAGCACAGGCATACTCTAGCAGCCAGACTCTGTGTACTTCAGCGTAGCCCTGGGGAAATGTAGAAAGACCCCACCTGGACTCAGAACACACCAGACACCACTACTAGGACCCCAGATCAGCACCAGGTAAGTTGCCAAACCCTTCCAGCCCCCAGCAGCACCAGATACAAAGGTCCCCCATGGGCCGCAAGGCAACATCAGCACAGCACCAGGTAAACAGCCAGGGATAGCACAAGAAGCTGGAGACAGAGCCCCTTCCAACCTGAGAGCAGAGATCAAATTTAAATGAAAGGAAAAAGGCCAAAAAAAATGAGCAAAAAAAAAAAACAAACAAAAAAAGAATCTGACCATAGAAAGTCATTAAGGTGACAGGGAAGACCAAGACACAAATTTGGAAAAGGAAAACAATGTCAAAACACCTATGGGCAAAGCCCTAAAGTAAAATAGGAAGTGGTCTCAAGCCCAGAAAGAACTCATGGAAAAGCTTAAAAATCATATACGACAGATAGAAGAAAAATTGGAAAAAGAAATGGATGAAAGGAGAGAGAGGGCAAACAGGACGCAGAACAGGATGGAGGGAAATACCACCTCACACAATCAGATTGGATAATATGAGGAAAAAAAGGAAAATTATAAAAGTTGGAGAACATTTGAAAAAATTGAGACACTAATGCACTGTTGGTAGAGGTAAGAACTGATCTAACCATTCTGGAGAGCAGTTTAGATCTGTATCCCAAAGACATCATAAAAAAGGGAAAAGGGCCTACATGTGCAAATATTTATAGCAGCCCTATTCATGGTGGGAAAATACTGGAAATTGAGAGAATGGCTGAACAAGCTATAGTATGTAAATGTAATGGAATACTATTGTGCAATAAGAAATGATGAAAAGGCAGATTTCAGAAAAACCTGGAAAGACTTGTACGAACTGATGAAATGAGCAGAATCAGGAAAACATTGTACACAGTTTCAGCAACATTGTGTGATGATCAAATATGAATGATTCAGCTCCTCTCAGCAACACAATTATCCAAGACAAATACAAAGGAGTCATGAAGAAAAATGCTGTCCATATTCAGATGAAGAACTGATGGACTTTGAAAGCAGATCAGCACGTATTTTTTTCACTTACTTTACTCTTTCTCATGGGTTTTCTTTTTCCTTTTGATCTGTTTCTTCTTCCACAACTGTGATGAATGTAGAAATATGTTTTGCATGATAACATATATATAAACTATATCAAAATGCCTACCATTTTCAAAAGAAGGGAGGAGAAGTAGGAAGGGAGAGAAAATTGGAACTCAAAATCTTGTGAAAATGAACGCTAAAAATTTTCGTGACATGTAATTGTGGGAAAAAATGAAATAGTATTTAGCTGCACACACACATGCGTGTGCACGCACCACACACACACACACACACACACACACACATAATAGCACCTACCTGCCAGGGCTGTTGTGAGCATCAAATGAGATAATAATTGCACAGTGCTTGGCACATAGTAAGTGCTGGATAAATGTTAGGTATTATCTTCTAATGAATTAAATATTGGTTTCTAAAAATGAAATACTTAGAATGCCAGATTTAGAATTGGAAGAGATCCTTGAGGTCATCTATCCAACACCATCATTTTACAGATGAAAAAAACTGTGGCTTTGAGAGGTTAAGTGACTTACCCAATGTGAGCCAGGTAATAAGGACAGCAGAATTTAAACCCACGTCCTCTCCCTCAAATGAACATGGCCCCACACTGTACTGAAGCTTGATTTTCTTGACATGAAATATTTGTCCAAACTTGACAGTTCCTTGCTTGCTGATCTCTTTGAATTTAATAACCAGAATGCAGTGGCAAAACAGATAAGAATAAGAAAGTCTCAAACAAAATCAAGTTTTGAGATTCAGAGAAGTAAAAATAGAAGAATGTTATGGAATAAAAATCAACCACCTAAATCAAAAGACACATGTTTATTCCTATCTTTGATGCTGCTGAGATATGTTAGGAAGAGCCCTGGTCTCAGAGTTAGATGACCTAGGTCTGAGTCCCAGCTTTGCTACTAATCTCCTAGTCAGGCAAGTTTTAAAAAATGAAATGAAGTCCCAGAGACATCATTCCTTTCCTGCATTCACCACATTCCATCAGCCACTAATTCCTGATAATCATTCCCTCACTATGGCACTCCTCTCCTGCCCTTCCTTTATATACCCCTTGCCACCTCTCTCCTCTAGGCCTTCATGTCCTCATTCCTGGACTGCGCAGGAATGGCAATCCTTATTTCAGTCTCTCTCACATTTAAGTCCATCCTATATCCTGCTACCAGGTCCTCCCCTCCAGTTAATGAGGGCAAGGGCAGGTATGTCAAAGGGGTTTGAGCAGCAAAAGATGTCTATTCAATAGACTTTTAAAAGGATGAGGCTGATGTGACTAGACTGAACAGTTCATGGTTAAAAGATCTGAGGAGTTTAATAATTACAAGCTCAATAAAGATCAAGCCCAGTGCAATCTATCCAACACTAAAGAGAAGCCTAGAGTCCAGATTAAGGAATTCGGATCCCCTAATCAGACCACACCTATAACTGGAGTATTATGTTCTGGAGTTGAGTTTAGGAGGCAAAGTGACAAGCAGAATTGGACTGGGGCCAAAAGACAGTCACTAGGATGCGAGTGAAGAAAACTATGCCATATATGTATTAAAGGAACTGGGGGGGGGGTGTCTAGCCCAAACAGAGGAGTATGGGGAGAAGAGGAAAGCTTTCTTCAAATTTCTCAAGGACTGCCATGCCGTAGAGAGAATAAACTTGATTTATTTAGAACCAGAGGGCAGACCTAATAGCATTTGGTCAGGGAGTAAGGGGAGGGAAAGGGAAAAAAGAGAAAAGTTTAGTGAGCGCCCCATCACTGGAGGTACTCAGGCAGAACCGAGGATAAGATTCTGAATACTAATCACACCATAGCAAACACAGCACTTGCTAAGTGTACTTACTGTTCAGTTATGTCTAGCTTCTGTGACCCCAGTTGGAGTTTTCTTGGCAGAAATACTGCAGTGGTTTGCCACTTCCTTCTCCAGCTCATTTTACAGGTGAGGAAACTGAGGCAAACAGGGTGAAGTGACTTGCCCAGGGTCACACAGCTAGGAAGTGTCTGACGCTGCATTTGAACTCATGCAGATGAGTCTTCCTCATTCCAAGCCCAGTGCTCTATCCATGCAATGTGCCACCTTTAGCATTTGCACAGGCCACAAAGAGCTCCCTCCTGAAAAGGCTGAATAACCTCTCCAAAAGAGCCTGGAAGGAAGCAGGCAGGGGTTACCCACTCACTCTTTCCTTTTTCTCCTCTGAGTATGTTCCTCCTATGAGGAAGAATGAGGGTGTGAAGGGTGATGGTACATGGGAATCATCCAGAAGCCTCTGGCTGTGCATGTCCTTTATTGAGAGGCCGAAGCACAAAGCTCATCCGAAGCAGTCAGGGTACACACAAGCCAAGCCATCGATTTTCTCTGTGGGATGGCTACAGTTATCTTCAGGTCACTCCCCTTTCCAAAAGCCTTCAATAGCTCACTTTCTCCTTGTAAATCAAGAATAAACTCCAATGCCCGCTTTCATCTATAAAATCAAGAGACAAACACAGTGTTGTCATGAGGCTAACACTAGACAACAAAAGTACTTTTTAAACATTAAAGCCCCAGGTACATCAGCTATTATTGCTATTGCTATGATTCATCACCTTCCTAAAATACAGAACTAAACACAGTATTACAGATATGGTCTGACTAGAACAGTTTACAAAAACCTATGGCCTCCTAGTCCTGCCATGTCCCTCTTAAGGCATCCTAAGATTGAACTTGGTTTTTTGGCTTATTATCGCACAGCTGACCCTTTCAGATTGCTGTTCACTAAACTCCTATTTTTTTTTCACATGAACTGCTGTCTAGTTGTGCTTGCCCAGTAGTATGTCATGGTTTTAAGGTGACATTCATGCATCAGTTAATAATATCAAAATGGATTGTGGTTGAGTCGAATGGCCCTGTTTGTATTCATAGCCTGTTTTCATGAGCATCACTCCTTTGATGCTATATATTCTGGTCTTCATACCTGACTTCATACCTTTTCCCCATCAGCATTGCAAATTTAGATGGGCAGTATTTGGATGGGCTGCCTTTTGGTTTAGCCGATGTCTGTCATCTCTAAAAGGGTCACTTGTCCCTTTCATTCCAATAGTAAAAACAGCTTAAAATGCTGGGGGCAGGGGGAGTATGACAAAGGCATATTTCTTGTACCAAGTAGTTTAAAAGGATGCTCAGAGAACAGGTTTATTTGTATTTCATATGGCTGGAGGATGATCTGATTCTTTTTTGTTGTTGTTAAAAAATACATGTGAAGTCTACAAAAAGAGGGGTTAGGATTCAGCCTTTATATTATAAGGAACCTGGACCTTATTTCTATGATAAGCATATATACTAAAAAGTTGTTGGAACTAGGTATTTTACCAATCATGTTAGGCCCATCCAGTCTTCTTGTTTCTGAATGAAAATTATAAGGGCAATACATTTGGAAAACAAACTGGAGTCCATCCCAAAATAAGCAAATTAAACTTTCCTTAAGGAGTAAGCATACTCTCTACCCAAGACTCAAAATAATCTCAAATTCATTTTTCTTCAAAAAGTATTTATTATGTATTCTGTTTAAGGTACCATACTAGGTGCTTGTAAAGATGAAAAATGACACAAAGTATTTTATAACCTAATTGAAAAAATGATTCAGTCTTTTTTTTTTCAATTGTGTCTCACTCTTTCTGACCCCTCTTGGGGTTTTCTTGGCAAAGATACTGGAGTAGTTTTCCATTTTCTTCTCCCGGTCAGCTTACAAATGAGGAAACTGAGGCAAACAGGGTTAAGTGACTTGCCCAGGGTCACACAGCTTGTAAGTATCTGAGGCCAGATTTAAACTCACAAAGATGAGTTTTCCTGACTCCAAGCCTGGCATTCTATCCACTGAACCACCTAGCTGCCGTAGAAGAAAATGATACATAATCAACCTTGGTAAGTCATATTTACAACACACTTTCCTCACAACAATCCTGTGAGCTAAATAGTAGAAATAGTGTCCCCATTTCACAAATGAAGAAACTGAGCATCAAAGAGGGGAAACAATTTGCCTGCCCAAGTATGTGTAACAATACATAAGTTATACAACTATATTATGTGTCTGAGCCAAGATTCAAAACTAAGACCTTCCTGAACTTTTCAACCCTAGTACTTAGCACGAGGTCTGACACATAAAAGTCACTTAATACAAACCTGATTGATGGATTAACTCCAAATCTAGCATTCTTTCCACTATATGATACAGCCTTTAACATGAACTAGGATGTGATTCAGCAAAAAGATCCAAACAACATGCTTTAGGAAAATAGAGGGAGAGATGGCTCGTTTCCATTTTGGAAGATTATGGAAGACTTCATTAAAGAGCTTTGACATAAGCTGGGCCTTGAAGGAAGGAAAGGATCTTGTCCCCAATTATGAGGAATCAGACTATGTGTATGTACATGAGTAGGAGACAGCAGGTTGAGTTCAAGCACTAGCAAGTAGTCCAAAGTGATTAGAAAATACAGTGTCTAGATTGTAAAATAAAGTTAGAAAAGGCTGTTGGAAGCCAGCTGTGTATGGGCTGTGGGGCTGTAAATTAATTGAGAGGCCAGGCAGTTTTAAGAGATCCAAAAGGAACAACTCAAGGATTCTGAGCAAGGGAGAGATCAGATCTGTGCACTAGGAAAACTATTTTGGCAGCTATGAGAAAGATAGAGGGGAGAGGGAAGAAACTGGAGGCAAGGATATCAATTAGAAGGTTATTACAATAGTCTGAGAATTAATGATATCCTAAACCAGGATGGTGGCAATGGGAATGAAGAGCAGAGGACACAGATTCAAGAGAAATTGTGAAGTGAAATTGATAGCATTTGGCAATGGGGGAGGGACAGATAAAAGACAGGGAAAGGTCAAAGATGATTCCAGTGCTTTGGGTCTAGGTGATTGGAAGAATGGTAGAACCATCAAGAAAAAACAGGGAAGGTTTGATGCATTTAAAATGAGTTCTGTTGTGGACATGAGGAGGTTTAAATTGGAGAGGGATATTTTAGGTGGAGATGAAAGGGCACAGGAGATTCGCCTACAGAAAATAAATTTTCTCAATGCAAATACTACCATGAACCAACGAGGGGGGGTGTCTCTAGGATGCCTCTGGAAAGATAGGAAGTCCTTTGAAAACTCACAAGGTCTTCCTCTATCCAAAAGGTGAGAATACTAAAAGCTAAAGCCAAATATGAAGGGCTCCTCCTTCCTCAAAGCAGCTCCTTCTCAAGGGGTTAACTAGACTGCTCTCTCTCACTTCCCCTCTCTCCTCCTCTCCACTGCCCTGCCTCTTGTCTTTTCCTCCCTCTCCTCCTCCTCCTCCTCCTTCCTTCTCTCTCTTTCTCTCTCTCTCTCCTACTCTGCTGGAATCTCTGCTTGATGCTTGAATAACATGGGTTATTCTGAACTAATCTTTTATTTTATAGATAACCCACAGGATTTGACTAAATTCGTCAGATTATTCAGTTTATCAAAGGACTTTTCACACTCAGTCCAAAGTATCTGGTTGATCAGTTAACTGAGACTTACTCTCACCTCCTTATCTTAAGATGAGGTGACTTGATTGATTTGCTCAGCCAATGTTGGCCCCTCCCCACATGAATAAGAATGTTATTAAAAAGAATGAGAATTGTCAGGGGCAGCTAGGTGGTGCAGTGGATGGAGCACCAGCCTTGGAGTCAGGAGGACCTGAGTTCAAATCCAGCCTCAAACACATAATACTAGCTGTGTGACTCTGGGCAAGTCATTTAACCCCAGTTGCCTCACACAACAAAAATAGTTTCATGAGGGAGAGGTGAGAAGGGAAAACATTTCAGGCATGGAGAACAGCCTATGGAAGAGCATGGATCCAGAAGTTGGAATGCCGAGCTAAAGGTTGTGTCCAGAAATGGAAATGATATCATAATGTGAGGTTTTTTGTTTAATATTTTATTTTTCTCCAATTAGCTGTAAAGACAATTTTGAACATCCGTTTTTAAAACTCTGAGCTCCAAATTCTCTCCCTCCCTCCCCACTCCCCCTCATTAAAAAGGCAAGCAATTCGATACAGGCTATACATGTGTAGTCATGCAAAACATGTCTCCATATTAGTCATGTTATGAAAGAAAACACAGACCCCTCCCTCAAAAAAAAAACTCAAGAAAAATAAAGTTAAAAAAAAGAATGCTTCACTCTGTATTCCAACACCATCAGTTCTTTGTCGGGGAATGGATAGCATTTTTCATCATAAGTCCTTAAGAGCTTTTAAGCTTTTTTAAATAGATGTTAAAAGCAGGTCCCCTTGCTAACTTAGTAGAGCTTCTAAGTTACCCTGCTAATGCCACATATGTTAACTGATCTAATTCTTGTAATCCTGTGAGGAAGAAAATGGAGACAGAAGGATCCCTATTATGTAAAACTGAAGCTCTTGGAAGGAAAGAACGTGTCCACATTTAAGCTCAGGTTTTCTGGGTCCATTATATGTAGCTTCCAAAGAGATAGTGCAATGTACTGGAAAGGAACTGCCTCAGGAGTCAAAAGACCTGTATTTTGGATCCCTGTTTTGCCACTCACTATTGGTAGGTGCTTAGGTAAATAATTTACCCTCTTTGTGCCTCAGTTTACCCATTTGTCAGTTGGATAAAATAACATCAAAGCTACTTTCCAGCCCTGAGAAGCTGTGATTCACATGTACTTTACAGTAGTCCCTGGGTGAAAGAATTTCTAGGGTTCCAGGAACTTATAGACATCACCACTTTTGCTAGCAAAAAAAGTGTAGCATGATGTTGTAAACAGTTTTACTTCTTTCACATCGTTTGGGAATAATACATTGTTTGATTTTTAAGACTTTTTTTTCTTTCATAAACTTGGCTACCACTAGTATCATATGTATGCAAATCTACAAACAAGAAGAACTATGACTATAGCACATGAAACCATAAAGTTCCATTGTTTACAATTGCTTCTAAGAAATGACTTCCACTCACTTTTCTCTTTTGAATTTCATTTTTGTTTTCTGTGAATTTTTTTCCAAAATTTCATTGCTATTGAAGCTTTAGTCAGTGTCTATACCATCCTTTCCATTCCACTTTTCTTCATAATGTGCCACTTCATATGTCTTTCTATACTTTTTAATTTATTCCTCATATTTGTCCCTTTTTGTTTTTATTTTTATTTTTGGCCTGGGCCTGTGATTTTATAAGATCAGGTAATTCCCTGCACTTCTGACTCTTGGAAAACTTCCAATGGGTATTGAAAAGTTTATTGACTTACCCAGTCACAAAATTATGTACATGGTGGGCTTTGAACCCATATCTTCTTAACTTCAAATGTGGGTCTGGATCTACTTTATCAGGCTGCCTTTCATTTGTCATTTCTTGTGCTACAATAATTTTCCATTATGTTTATCTGTCCCCAAATATAAAGCAAGGCTATTTTCCTTATTGTTATTCAACATAGTGTTAAATATTCCAGCAACAAGATAAGAAAAAGAAATAGGGAATAAACCTTGATCAAAAGTGGATAAAATATCTGTTTGCAGATGAGATGATGAGTTCTTTAGAAGTCCCAAAAGACTCAGCTACAATAAAAAGAATGATTGAGATAATGGTTTTAGTAAAATAGTGAGAACAAGAGAAACTACAAAAAAATGAAGACGACTGCCACAAAAGACCCCACACAGAAATTAAAATTGCATTAGGTGTCACTATAGTATAAATTAGATGTGACAGATTAAAAAAAAAGAATATACATTAAAAAAAATATAGTTGTCAAAACAGCAGGTTCTGAAAGTGCATTTCAATTACCCCTAGAGGTCTCAGGGAATTTCACAATATTTCATTTTCTTTCTAGGAGAATCTAAGTGAAGGAATAGGAGAGAAGGATAAAGAGTGAATTTGGGGGAGGATCTGAAACAGGCTGAGGCTCAGAGGAAAATCATTATACTTATGGAGACCTATATACATGTAGAAACAATAAAATAAAATAAAAGGGGTTAAATAAATTTGCAAGTGATAAAGCAAGAAATAAAGAACAAGAAAGGGGGTGGGGGAAAAAGGTTGCCAGGGGATGGAGGAAGAAGTGGTTTTATTTATTTTTTTTATTTTTATTTTATTTTATTTTTTTAAGGTCAATTACCAATAACCTTGAACCTGAGGAAAAGCTGGTTTAGATACGAACTTGAAGACATGGAGAAATCTTAAACAATGCTGCCCACTACAGTTTAAGTAGAAAAACTGAAGGTAACTAGTATTTTAGTTGCTAGTTCAAAGTCCAAAAACCTTGAGCTCTTAGCACCATCTTCTGGCTGGTACTATAATAGAATGTTTATCTAACACACTTTATTTTTTCTGCATACAGAGAAAGAAAGGACAAAAAAGGGAGGTAATTCACAGATTAATCTTAAAATATACTTTTTTTCCTGTTGAAAACTTAAAGTGTGCCACCTGCTAGAATTTCTCTAAATATATTTTTAAACATCTTGAATATTAAAGAATCGAAACACAAAGTCAAAATTAACACCCCAACTATGTAACTTAGACAAGCTATTTAACCTCTTTCAGCCTCAGTTTCCTGACCTGTAGTGATAATAATAGCACTGGTCTATAGGGTTGTGAGAATCAAATGAGATAACAAATATAAAGCACTTTCAGAATCTTAAACTGCTATGTAAACGCTATCTGTAATTATGACAATCCCTACTCCTAGGTGAAATGTAGGGAGCTCAAAAAAAGAAAATTCCCAAACCCCTATTTCCATCCCACTCCCACCAAGGCACACAGCCATACATTGAGTTCTTCATTAATGCAAACTTCAGACCAAGAGATCACAGAGATAATCTAATGCTAATCCTTCTTTGTACTATAATCAGTCAAGTCCTTGCATTCAGTTGATGAATTCTGAGCCTAGGGAGCTTAAGTGACTTCCTCAAGGTGACACAGTGAGTTCATGATAGGAACTCAGGTCACTGGACCAGCAATATAGCCTATACTGAAGGGAGTAGTGCCCTTGTGCCTTTGACTTCTACCTTCATATTCCTTACTGTCACTGGGCAAATTAGAGTCCTATGACTAGTTAATCCTCAAAAGCTGTTTGTTCACGTGGACTTAACTAAGGAGAGTAGCATACTTTAAGTGCTTGCTTATTAAGCACTTACTATGTTCAGGGGCCTTGTGCTAAGCTGGAAATGATGTATTTTATCTTCAAGTAGTTTCCAGTTTAGTAAGGGGATAAGTAGTGTGGATTATTCTGACCTAGATATCCAGCTCCATTGTCCAAGGAGAGGGGACAAATGGGTTAGATGAAGGTGTAAGATATTATACAGTTTCTAGTAATAAATCAATATGTGTTAAGCTTGCTGAATCCATTCGCCTTTACCATTATGAGGTAAAGGAAAGCATTACCAAGAACTCTGATCAGTGACAAACAATATACCATATTTCACCACATAATCATCGCAGATTTTAGGCCAATTTTTTTTTGCAAAAAGTGGGGTGCAACCATTATATGAAGCTTTTTTTAAAAAATGTGCCTGTATTACTTAAAAATCACTTATTACTAAACTGTCTTTGGCGCAAGATTAGGATACACGAAATACTTGTGAATATATGTTAAAATTGAATACCGATATCGTGCATGCACTGAGAATTCTAGGCTAGTGGCTCAAAATGTGTGAGAGATGAGCATATCCATATGCCACTGGTGAATATATTGCTGCTCTGTTTACCTTGTAAGTGGTGTGAGGAACAGAACTATGCCATGGGATGATTATGTAATTAAAGATTATAAACCAATTTTTTAATTGAAAAAACAAAACAAAATAGAGTGTGGCGATTATACAGTGAAATACAATAGAACATCCTAACGTGGTGTCTCAAATAAGAGCATACAAAATGCCTATGAAAAAGCCAGATTATAAAATCAATCAGACTACAGATTTCTAAGTTCTCACAGGTAAATCATGGTACACATTAAATTAAGGGCCATATGTCTTAGTGTAAGAGTTTAGACCTAATGGAGATGCAAACACATACAAAAAAGAAACAACTTTAAGAAGTGTCAGGTGTCTGAGTATAGAGGGTACGCTGAATCATATAAGAGCAGCAAGCATTTAGACAGGACCTTAAGGTTTGCAAAGTAAACCCTGGAAGGTAGGTGCTGTTATTATCTGCATTTTACAGTTGAGGAACTTGAGGATGTGGGGAAGTGACCCAAGGTCACATAGCTAGTAAATATCTGAGGCTAGATTTGAACACTAATCTTCCTAACTCTGGGTCTAGTGCTAGCTCTAAAGTCACTTATTATATAACAGAGATAGCCTGGGGGAAAAACATTCTATGGATTGGAGAGACCTGTAATAGCTGGATACCCTGGAAAACTACAGAGAGAGAGAGAGAGAGAGAGAGAGAGAGAGAGAGAGAGAGAGAGAGAGAGAGAGAGGAGAGAGAGAGAAGAGAGAGAGAGGGAGAAGAGAGAGAGAGAGAGAGAGAGGAGAGAGGGAGAGAGAGAGAGAGAGAGAGAGAGAGAGAGAGAGAAGAGAGGAGAGAGGAGAGAGAGGAGAGGAGGGAGGGAGGGAGAGGGAGGGAGGAGGGAGGGAGGAGAGGGAGAGGGAGAGGGAGGGAGAGGAGAGGGAGAGGAGGGAGAGGGAGAGGAGGGAGAGGGAGAGAGGGAGGGGGAGGGGGAGGGGGAGGAGGAGGGAGAGGGAGAGGAGGAAACATTGTGATGTACAGCTTGGCTGGACCACAGATTATGAAAGAATCCAAAATGAAGCTGTAAACGCGGGTAAGATTCAGAGTGCTGCAGCGAGCCCTGCCAGACAGAACTTGATTGGTCAGATGCGTTGGTAGTTTCTCCGCTAGAATCGTCTCACAGTCTGGCAGCCACTTCTCCTCCTTTCTTTGGGGAAGCCTGCAGACTGCATGTCTTTAAAGAGTAATCAAGGCACAGGGCTGCACCCATAACACCCAGTGATTGATAGTTTGGCTGAAAACGCCAAAGGACTCGATGGTGACGAGTCACTAAAATTCTGACACAACCCATCAGAAGATCCAAAATGTTAAGATTTCTAGTGTTTAAAACCAATGCTCCCGTTATCCCATTATTTACTGTTAATGTTGGTTTTTTTAAGTTTTTCAGTGTAGATATTTTCTTAAGAAAACATGTCTATGGGGCAGCTAGGTGGCGCAGTGGATAGAGCACCGGCCCTGGATTCAGGAGGACCTGAGTTCAAATCCAGCCTCAGACACGTAACACTAGCTGTGTGACCCTGGGCAAGTCACTTAACCCCACTGCCTAGCCAAAAAAAAACAAAGAAAACATGTCTAATGTGTAAGAGTAGTCTGGAATAATGCAGTGCTCGGAGAAAGAATAGAAAGAGACAGGGTGATATGATAGAAGTCTCTGAACCAAAAATCAGGAGTCCTGATTCTATCATTAACTTGCTATATGACTTTGAACACGTTGCTTAAATGTCTCTTTATTGGAAAACGGTCCCGAGGACTCCTCCACTATTTAACCTCAATCCTTGTGTTTTTCTAAGTGTCAAGTTAGGTAATGTCTACGGAGGTACTCTACACATACGATGTGGATGCTGGGCCCTCTCTTCCGAAGCCAGGCCGCTACGCCCTTCCGGGTGCTGGGTTTCCCGGGGAGTATGTGGAGCGGCCCTTGACTGATATCCATTAGAGCTCTCTCGTCCCACCTCCTCCACTGTTAGCAGCCTGTAACTAGTGCCCCAGATTCATTAAAACTCTTAACACAGGGTACTTTGCACAAAGGAATGTTTACTTTGAAGATATATCAAGAGCAAAGTACAAACAATTCCCCCAAGACCTTAGGGGCATTATCAGGGGCGGGGAATCCGCAGCCTCGAGGCCATGTGCGGCCCTCTAGGTCCTCGAGTGACCTGGAGGCTTCAGGTTTCCCCTGCTTCGTACTCTCCCTTATATCACCTAAATCTCTGGGAAGAATAAACTCAAAACTTAGCTCAATTCCTCCATGGAAATGATCCCAAGTCTGCATTCAAAGGTGACAACACATGTCAGCCAGAAAAGTCCCTGTCCAGGTTCCTGCTGAGCTGGAGTCCCAAAGGTCACGCCTTCTTTCTCAGGTCATTGTTACCGGACTGATTCTAAAATGCTCAGACACCATAACACCTTTCTGATCTTTGGAATTGTCAAAATCCTAGACTCCAATTCCTACATACCAAGGATTAAGGCCATAAACCTCTGACGAGAGAAGGCCAAGGCCACACAATCTCTCTCCCCCTTACACCAGACACTTCAGCGAGCAAAGGAGTCAATGACAGACCTTTTCTAACGCCTCTTCAGCCAGCCAAAAAGCCCCCTCTTCAACACATAGTTAGTGAACTGGAAACAGTCGCAGAATATCTACACGTGCTCCACAATCTTCCTAAAGCACTTTGTTTACACGTCCTCAGGACTCTACTAGAAACAGGCTTCCGGCCTCTCCACGCCGAAAATTGCTGACACAAGTGTTCTATGTATGTGCCAGGGCCTCATTACACATATACAAGCCTTCCTCATCCTTCTGGGCCTGCCAGTAGTTTGTGCAATAATACTAAACAAAATATATTACTTTATCTAAGACTCAGGGTTCAAATACATAGCATAAAAATGAGGAGCATTGAAAGCACTTCTGTTACAGTAAAAGCAATGTAACACTGTAACTCAGTGTTAAAACAGCCAAGTTAACTAACCCAAGAGATGAAACAGTATGCACTGAGATCCAAGATTTGCCACATTGTAGAACACAATGATATAGGCACTGGTGACTAAATTGTAAATAAGGACACTGCACAGTTTCCATTCATTCATTCAACAAATATTTAAGCCCCTACTATAGGTAGTCAGGGTACAAAAATAAGTAAAGCCTTATCCCTACCCTCAAGAACTTACATTCTAGTAAGGGAATATAAAAATTGGAAAGAGGAGACCTGTATCACAGCTAGGAGGCTCAGTGGATAGAGCGTCAGGCCTAGAGTCAGGAAGGCCTGAGTTCAAATCCAGCCTCAGACACTTACTAGCTGTGTGACCCTGGGCAAGTCACTTAACTCTGTTTGTCTCAGTTTCCTGGTCTGTAAAATAAGCTGGTAAAGGAAATGGCAAATCACTCCAGTATCTTTGCTGAGAAAATCCGAAATGGGGTCATGAAGAGTCATACACAACTGAAAATGACTAAAAAATAACGAGAGCAAAATAAGCTGTCTCCAAAGTTAAGATTTTGATTATTTAATAAGGAGGAGACCATACAAATGTCAATAATCAGTGCTGATATTTCCCAAGATTGTTTTTCTGGCCCTGACATACAACAATTATCTTCCCCTGGGAACATTAAAAATCCTTCTGATTCTGGAATAACAGGGGAATAAGCTCTTTCTAGCTATGTATTGCTGACTACCTAATGCCATTTTGGCTGTACTTTACCCAAATTATGATAATAAATTTTCAACTGGAAGAAATGATCAAGATCAGCTAGTCCAGCTCCCACAGCTTACAGATGAAGAAATTGAGGCTCATAAGGGTGAAATGAATTGCTTAAACCATACAGGTAGCAAGCGGCAAAGCCAGGATATAACTGCACATCCTCTCATTCTAGATTTAGCCTGTTTTAGATGAACTTAAAAGATTATAACTACAGAGGATGCAATTGCTTCTGGAAAAAAAAAAAGCCTGGGAGCTTTATCTGGGCTACATTTCTCTTGCTTAATAAATAGCATGTATTCTTAGGATATATCAACAATCCTTTCTCTTCCATTCCATGAATCTTCACCTTACCTGAGAATTAGTATCTTATAGTAGAACACTGTGTGCTCAGCCAACTAAGAAAAAAGTCTGGGAAGGAAGCCTTGTAAACACAATGCAATCAACTTTCACTTTTCAGCGTTCTGATTTCCCTGGGGCTCAGAAGTGTTTCATACAATAGTAATATATACAAATTTTCACACATACAGTGATCTGAGTGAATTTTAAGCAGTCTTTTTCTATATCTAAAATATAACATTATTCTCTGGAAACAGGAACTGCACTGTGAAATAATTTTAGTAAATGTAGTGTCATAAAAAATAACTGACCTGGGTCTTCCCTCTGCCTGAGCAAAGTCTTCCTTGAAATGAACGACTGCTTTGGTAAGCGAGGGCACTGGCAGAACTGAGTGCTGGTCACAATTCCATAACTTCCTATCCACATGACCTTGGACAAGTCATTTCATTGGTGGCTTGTTTCCCCATCATCTGTAAAGTGAAGAGGATTAAATCAAAAGGCATCTAAAGTCTTCTGACACTCTGGCATTCTATAATGCTACGGTTTTTAATGTCCTTGGAAGGTCCTCAAATAAATGGAGCAGAGGAGTAAATTAGTAGACTCTTATTGATACCTCCTTCAACTTCAATGACTTATCTCTCCATTTTGAGCATTTAGTCTTTAGCATTACTGACCCCACCCTAATAACAAGATTTATTTGGCATATAACTCCTAGAAATGTATATACAATATAATTAAGAGACACATTTAAGTTTGAGGTAAATAACCTCTATGTAAGGCTAACAAATGCTGACATTTCTTTAACATTTAAAAGTTTGCAAAGCACTTTTGTGAATATTATCTTAATTTATTCTCACAACAGCTTTGGGAAGTAGGTGTTATTGTTCCCATTTTACAGTTGAGGAAACTGAGGTAGATGGCGGTTGTCAAGGGTCATACAGCTGGTAAGCATCTGAAGCTACATTTGAAGTCAGGTTTTCCTCATTCCAGGTCTGGCCCAGAGCCACCTGAGCCTCGTTAGGGAATTAAACATTTCACAAGTAGAAGATCTGAGGATAAATTATTCCCCTGACCTTACCTTACCTTACCTCTGATGGCTGCTTCATGTTTGGCAACTTTGAGTTCTAGAAATTGAGTTTTGTTTTATCCTGCATTCCACACAGGAAAGACACTGGAAGAGTTCACTTAGACCTCTGTGATGAGTTGCAGGAAATAGAAGCCTAGATCCACTCTGGGAAGATGCATCTAGGCACTAGGCCAAGTTAGAGGAATATCGCACTAATTACAGAAAGGATCACTTTAGTGCAAAAATGATGATGATGATGTTGATAGCTACACTCTTAAGTCTGGTCCCCACTGACTGAATTTATGATACCTTTTCCACTGACCACATTAGTTTGGCCACAAAGTCACATATTGACCACTGTATTTATTTATTCATTCATTCAACTGCCATTAAAGAGAGAAGATAAGCCAGCATGACTGAAGTATCACAGCATTCTGAGAGATGGGAGGCAGGATATGCCAAGAAGGACAAACCACCATCACTACCTTCATTTACTTCCCCTTAAGACTCTGATGAAGACAGCCTGAGGGGAAAAAAAGGCAAAGACAAAGAGACTTGGGGGTTCCATTAGCTCCTAGATCACCTGTCCTGCTTCCAGTCTTTCCACCCTACCCCATGGCCATCATTGAAGGGAGCAACTCATGAAGAAGAGCCTGGCATCCTCACCAACCACCCAAAATCAACTTCCATCACCAAGAAGGCACTGTGGTCCCCACCTCCTCAGTAGCCAACAGTTACTTAATATATGGGGGGGGGGCAGAATTTCTCTCCACTGTGAAATGATTCCACATCAGAAACTGATATGGTGTATAAATAGAAATGACATTAAAGAAAATGTGTTACTGTCTGCTTTGCTGCTGCACCTTTGGCAAACATTCGGCTGACTTGAAACTGAAACCTCTTCTATGTGCTGCCTCCCCTTACTGGAAAGTGAGTTCCTTGAGATCAGGGATTTTTTTCATTTGTAACTCCAGCACTTAGACCAGTACTTTGCATGGAGTAAATCCTTAATAAATGCTTTATCATTCATTCATTCATTCTCTCCACCGTTACAGGAAACAGTGAATCTGAATTCACCAAATCCCAGAATGTACCCTCTGTTACTCAACATTTTTAATTGAGTCTAAATGGTGAGACTGTAGTCCTTTTCTACGTCAAATGAAAAAAAAAAGAAAGTAAAACATAAAATTCACTTTAAAACATGAGAGGTTAACAATTGTAAGATGACTATACTTAATTTCATAAGAATGAGAATACCACACTTATAACAGGGATTCCAAAAAACTAAATTAAGTCGGGTAGGAACAGAAATGATTTAGTTGTAGCATAGTAGTCAACATAAGCAAAGGCAAATAGCAGAAGCCCTGGGAGCCTGAACAAATGTTTGGTGACACTTTCATTAGCATGTTGTCACTCTCCACCACATACACCTCTCTTCCTTTTCTCCCCCTTCTTTTTGTGTGTGTGTGTGTGTGTGTGTGTGTGTGTGTGTGTGTGTGTATCTCCTCCTTCTTCCCTTTATTTATGTTTTTATTCACTACCGTGCATGGATTTTTACAATTCACTAGCACATCAAAGGCCTGCTGTTGGCATTCAGGCCTGAAACAGTTTGCTTAATGGGGAGCACCCCTTGACATTTCCCGCCATTCAGACCTCAAGCACACAGAGTAGTAGAGTCAAAGGTTCAGTGAAGGTCAGGAGGAGACCCAAGACCTTGAATTGAATTGTTCATGTTTTTCTAAGGTAGCCAAGTATGAGAACAAATTCAATACAACTGGTCAAATGTACAATATGACAACATCACAGCAACAACACTGACCATCTCTAATTCTGTTTACAATAGAGAAAATTACTTTAACAGTCTGGAATAAAAGACTTGCACTAAAATACTCCTCTGATGCCGCCTATGGGTGGAGGAAGATAAATTACAGCCAAGATGAATATCTATTCAATCAACAGTGAATTGTAGCAATATGTGTGGTAGAACTGCAAGAGTATGCAACTATATAGGAGACCCAAGAATAGGCAGAAATTATTAAATGGGACATACTATGACACTTGCCTGCTTGTTATATTCCTGAACTTTTTAAAAGGTCTCCCTGAACATGGGGCCCACCCTGTAGAGTTATATGTATATATGAGATAAGGGGCCCTTCGGGGCCCATGGAGGTATATGCATGTTGGCTATGATAATCTGCAAGGTTAACCACAGACTGAGCTACCCTCCTTTTTACCCTTACAACCAATGTTGCCCAGTCTTCAAAGCAAAGATCCGATGCAGAGGAGAAAGAGACCACCCTAGAAGCAGAGTTCTTCCCTTCCCTCAAATAGAAAACCATAAATACTGGGATTTGCTGCTCTGTCCATGGTCACTTTATGTTTTGCATTACATGCATCCTGAGGAGAAACAGCCCCTAAGAAATTCAAACAGGCTCACTCAGGGAACAAACAACAATCACTTCTCACTCTAATTTTGCTGACTCATACATACTCTTACATCCATGTTCCACAGCCCAACTGTGGGTGTCCTACAAGGCTCTGCCCTTTATCCTCTTCTTGTTTTTTCCCCACTCTCAGTGACCTTGTTAGCTTCCTTAGGTTCAAACATCCTCTTCATGCAAATAACCCTCAAGATGACCTATTTAGCCCTACTGTCTCCTTTGTGTTCCAGTCCCATATCACTAGCTTCCTGCTGGACGTTATTTCCACATGGATGTCTCATGGGCGTCTCAAACTCAACATGTCTATAAAAGAATTAATTATCTTCTCCCCTAAATTCACCCCTTCGTCATTTTTTCTCCCTGTTCACGTTGAGGGTACCAGTAGCCTTTTGGTGACCCTGGTTCACAATCTTGACTTCTTGATTGTGATTCATCCCTGACTCTTCCTTCTTTGCCCTGTATTTTCTTGTAGTCCCCTTAGAAATAACTGCCCTGATCCATTTCGTAGTGTGTGATTTGTAGTTTCTATAACCCTTTGTTATAATGTGCACAAGGCTATGTTTGTTTCTTAGAATTCTGAAATCACAAGGGCCATCTCTCCACTGGGAAATGTAAATGAATTGATATGGCTTGCTGGAAAACAGATACATGCATACACAGATTCATATAAACCTATAGTAATTATAGATGCCTTTCTACCTTTTTCAGGGTGTTTGTATATTAGAAATATATTATGAATTTATACTACACACTTATATGCTAGTTGACTTGATCTATATAGTCTTAATTGAATATTGCCTTTCTTTGCTTTCACCTCTGAAACTAGCCAAGGAATTCTCCCCTTGTTTCCACAACTTCACAGATAAGCAGCTACCCAAACAGCCCCCTAACAGTAATGCTCATAGATGAGTTCCTCTACACCACCCTCTCTTATTAAGGTGACATTGAAAAAATGGGAAATTTCATATTTCATACTCATTTCCCTCCACCATGTACTGTACTCAGACATCTCAAAACATTGATCTGGAAGGAGATAATGCCTTGGTCCCCACCAATCATCATCATGGAACCTCCAGAAAGGAGGAAGCATCAGAAATATATATATCAGAAATGAGGGGTTTTTTTCTATAACAGAAGGGGAAGCCATATTATGTGGAAACTGCCAGTCATCACCCCAATCTGGATTCAGATTTGGAGGCCTACAGCAATTCTTCCTACTCTTTAGCTGATAAAGACTACCTTCTAATACATCTCTTTTGAATATAGAAGTATTTTTCATAGATTTCCTTCTTTGCCCTTTTCTATTACAGATGCTGGATTATGACATAATCACTTATTTAGAGACTTGTCTGAGGCTAAATGTAGGAACTAAAATGTGTGGGAGAACCTGGTCAAATCTCCTCATTTTAAAAGCTCTCCAGACTCATGCAGAGACTCTTTTATTCCCATTGTTGCTGTAAGTGGCTTCAATTTACATTTCTAATCATTGTAAAGTCTTTTTGATTCTACTTCCACAGAATCTCTTGCATCCTTTCTCTTCTCTCCTCTCATATAACCTCTATTCTAATTCAGACCCTAATCACCTCTTACCTAGACTATTGCAATAGCCTTGTAATTGGACTCTTGGCTTCCCATATTTTCCCTCTCCAATACATCCTCCACACAGCTGCCAAAACAACCTTCTTAAAGGTCACCATTCCTCTGCTCAATAATTTTCAGTGGCTCCCAAATGCTGCTAGGATAAGTACAACACAGTCTCTTCCAGTTGCCATTTGAAATCCTTGACAGTCTGTTTCCAGCATACCTTCCCATGATTATTACATATTCTCCCCGTTCATTAACCCTATATTTCAGTCCAAGTCATCCACCAGCTATTCTCTTTGATGGCCCTCCATTTTGCTATCAATTTGTCCTGGACTTTCCCATGTCCAGAATGTATTCACTCCTTATGGCTGCCTTGTAAAATCTATAGCTTCCTTCAAGGTTTAAACCCTATGCCACAATGTTCACCAACAAACAAACAAACAACTTTCCTGATCCCATTTATTAGTGATCTTTCCCTTCCTGAATTATTATTATATACAACTGTCACCCGCGACTAAGTGTTGCATCAAACGGAGGAGTGTGCAATGAAGAAACATGGGCCAGGCAGGTCAGTGAAAGACTGAGCCATTTATTATTCTGAGGGTCCAAAGCTAACAGTCATCTCTGCAGAGTTCCCAAGATTCTTAGGACACTAATCCCAGCCCTTATGTGCATCCTTAATTGTTCACACCTGCTTGCCAACAAGGTTCAAGGGGTAGAGTGTTCTAACACCTTCCAGGCAGGGGAAATTGCTGAGCCAAATATTCTGAATAATTAAGCCCTTATGGGTAGGAAAAGGAAAGAGTCAAGCTCTAACCTAAATTCCTTATCCCATATTAGACCCTTCAGCTCTGGCCCTCAACATACAATAATGCTTCCATTAAAGTAAACTACTTTCTCCCGCCAGTAAAATGTAATAAAATGTAATCCAGGTCAGGGCTTTTTTTTGTTTCCCCGTCTTGTCTCTTTTGACTTTGAATCCTACTCAGGACTAGCACTCTGACTTGTACACAGTTGGTATTTAATATTTGTTGGATTGGAATTGGCACATGTGTATTTCCAAATATTGCTGAAAAAAACTGAAACCAAGAACACATAAATGCCTGTGTTTTGTTATCTACATTTTAAGAGGAGCTGAGTTTCTCATTATAGCCAGATCCTAAAGGTAGGAGGGCTTAGTTCTTCTTGATTTACTTGTGTATTGGAACTACATGCAACCAGGCGTCATGAACTAGACTTTTAATGCTCACTATGATATGAAGATTACTGTAGGTGCTCAGAGACTTTATTGTGGAAACACAAGCTCTCGAGGGGTTTTATTTAGCAGGAAAGGATTCAAGAACTGGCCTGTCAAAGGCCTATATGTCATCCAAGAATCAGCCCAAGTTTATTTATTTTTTATAAATAGTATTTTCTTTTTTTTCCAATTATATGTAAAGATAATTTTTAGCATTTTTTAAACAAGATTTTGAATTCCAAATTTTTCTCCCTCCCCTCCTCCTAAAATGGTAAGTAGTTTGGCATAGGTTATAGACGTGCAATCACGTAAAATATATTTCCATATTAGTCATAGTTGTAAAATAAGAAACAAGAAAGAAAAAAACAAAAAAAATAAGTGAAAACAGCATACTTTGATCTGCATTCAGAGTCCATCAGTTCTTTATCAGTATGTGGATAGCATTTTCCATCATGAGCCTTTGTAACTGTCTTAGATCATTGCACTGC